GTTTTCAATCTTTTCGAATATTTTCTCTTGTTCTCCATGTCTCAAATATTCAAATGGATCATCAAAATCAAAACCAGTTTTGAGATTGGTTTTATCAGTCTTTTTGAATATATTTCCAACTAAGTCTAAATTAGTATCATCGTCATCATCAGTCTTTTGTTTAAATAGACGTAAACCATGAAATATAACTGAAAGTTCTTCAGATAACATATGAATTGGTAATGATGAAAGTTTTGTTTTCAATATGTTTATTTGTTCTTGAACAAACTGTGTTAATGGATCATTAACAAATATAGCCAAGTTTGTTTCTAATCCTAATAAATATCTTAACAAATTTATTCCATCAATGACAATTTGAAATGCTAATTTGTAGTTTTGATCATTAATTTGTTTATCATTTTGAATAAGAGAACAAGTATTTGTAAAACTTCTTGACCATTTCCAAATAATCACAGATAACTGAATAAGACTATCAAGTAAATACTCTTCTGTCAAATTTCTATCGATCGATAAATTAGAAAAATATGTTTCAATTTGTTTTAAAGTCTCAGATACCTCATTGGCATCTTTTTCAGCATTTTCATATCGTTTATTGGAACCAGCAGAATCAGGATTATTATTTTCAGTTTTATCCATTGAAAGCGTTATTGTTGATATTGACTCAATAACATTCGACTGTACTTCATCGTGTTTTATCATATGTTTTAACCATTGATTAGGATTATCATATATTTCATTTTGAAAAGAAAAAAGAAGGTTTGTATTTCGATAATTTTTCTCTATCGAAAGAAATTGAACTTTCTCTAAAAAATTTAGGCTTGTGGAAAATTTGAATATTATGATTAGGTACAAGATGTGTGTCTTGATTTTTTGATAAATTTTGATGAAGATTTACGGCAGTAAGTATGAACAAAGGAGAACGAATTGCATTTAAAAGTTGGTTATTTGGTTCATATACATATAAACTGATAGCATGAACAAGTTGTTTCAAATCTTGTTCACATATTTGATGACCTTCATTTATTGCTACTTCAATAATAGTAAAGAAAACTGATTGAAAACGCTCACTTATTGATGTTATAGTTGACAAAGTTTTATAATTTTGCCATAAAGAAAGTATTGATTTTGCTACTATAGAAATATCTTTACATGCTACTTTTGTAAGTGATTGTAGGAAATCATATTCGTTTCTCGCATTAATAACTTCATTTGATGACCAACCAAAAGCAGCAAAAATTGTTTCAAGTTTACCTTGGTAATCCTTTTGAGAAAATGATACCATAGATTGGAATCAGTCAATAAATTCAGTACAATGGTTTTCTTGTGCCACATGAGAAAGACCTTGAATAAAAATATTTAAAGTGTTTTCAATCGAAGGATTCTTGGTGAATTGAAATAATGTTTCCGACGCATACCATAAAGGTGACTTACGCCATTTATCTGATATACATCCACATAAGATAACTAATCCAAACCAAATATCAATCGCTGAATAATCATATGTTTGAGAATAGTTGTGCAATTTTTCTACTGCTAATAATGCTCGATTTATATAAATGATTCGTTCTGATGATGCTATTAAACCAATTTTTCTGCAATGTACAATAAAGTTATTCGTAGTATTAATTATGTTTGAACTATTTTCATTTGTTAATGATTCCTTGAGTATGAACAATTCTTTTGCTGTATTTTTTATATATGCGTCTTCAATCTGATGTCCAACTGCTCGACGAATATCATTTTCTAGTTCTTCTTCATCCATTGGCAATCTATAAGTTTTTGTAAGTAAACTTTTTACAACAAATGGTGGATCGAAAATATATTCAATTAACTTAATGATGCAATCCTGCCATCGAGGCTTCTTTTCTTTCCAAATAGCACGAATTTCATCAGTTCGACAATCCAGAAGATCGATTGAATATTTTGTGAGTTTATCGAATGACTGTTCAGGAAATGCACGATAGTTTAACAATATTTTAGCAATATCTGCAAGTAGATAAGCTTCTTGTCTCACTTGAAAATTTTCTGGTATCATATTACATATTATTTGCAGTGATTCAGATATTGAAATTGTATCTGCTGTATTCAAATTTAAACAAGATTTCCATAATAAACTTAAGTCAGGTTCTAGTTGTTGTATGAATACGTTGAAAAAACTTGCTAAATTATCTTCAATAGAGTTTTCTGCATTTTCGTGTTTATTTTTGTCTTGGTCAAAAAATAATGCTGATATTGCCCTGGAAGTTGAAATTGCTGTTTGTTTCAAGATATTTGTATTCCATGGCCATTCCTGTACAATATAGTCTAACTCCTTGTCTACTGAAGCAGTAAGAATTTTAAAACCGTAACTCAAAAAATTCGAAAATATTTCAAATAATTTTGATGATGGTCTTAAAGTAGCATTAAGTATTGTTATCATTTGATTAAATGATAGCTCTGAAGATGGATTAAACTTTGTCGTAACACGAAGTAAGGACAATATATCAATGAATTGACATTCTTGTTGATCTGATTTAATTAGCTGAGTTGATAAACATGCAGCTGCTAAACCGAGTGAATCTTCGATCGTATCTTGTGATAATGGTAGTGTTATAACCGGATGAATATTCCATGTGTAAATGACCTTTTGAATGAAATAATGCGCTAATTTTATACCTGAAATAGATTTTCGTATTTCATCGATAAGTTCGCCTACATTCGATTCAGTTAGTATTGGTTTGTTGTGAAATGAGTTTTGAAGTATGTGGTTAATCTCGAGTAAAGCTTTTGTCTTCTCATTGGTCTTTGTTGAGCTTCGATATGTATCTAATACACATGCTAATGTGTCCCAAGAGATCAATGTTATACTAGTAAATAGTTCGTTCAAAGTTTTGAACACAACATCAGAATACGTGGTATTTGATTGAGATGTACCTATTGTACCTGATATCAAAAAACAGAATGGACGATATTTATAAACCATCTGATCAAGACCAAGAAATATTTCTCGCAGAGAAATTACTTGTATTTCCTGTAAAAATCTAGATGCTTCGTTTGATGTTTGAACAAAATCTTTTAATTTAATAATAACCTTTAGGGTAACAATAGATTCAGACTGAATAATAATCTCCTGATCTTTGTTATATGCGATAAATTCATCTAATGTTCTATGCATGTATATATCTGTCGCAGGTTTAATGGATTTTTCATTGATCATGACAGAAACACTTTTTAATGCAGAATGTGATGTAGGAAAATAGTTGACAAGTAAATGTACCGGATCACCTTTTGCTGTAAGTTCCGTTTCGAAAACGTATTGCTGATTAGATGCCATCTCTCCAAAATCTTTCCAATAGTTTTTACAAAATAATCGACCTTGTTTGATATTTATATCACATTCAATAGTCTTCGTTGTTCCATCTTGATTTTGTATATTACATTTGATTTTACCATTCTCAAAACGATGCAAATCAGATGAAATGGACAATGACTTTTTCATATTTGGTGAAAGTTGAATATCAACTGTTTTGTCATTATTATTTACTGAAGAATTATTTTGTTCGATCATTTTAAAAGTACTTGATGATTCTATTAATTTAACTTGTGTCATACATGTTGTTAGTCCTTTATTTTGAATTTCTAACGTCGAATTAATAGGTAACAATCGATTATTTTCGAGAAGTTGTTCTTTTTCAAGCCAATAGAAATCAGCATTTAAAGAAATAACGTCTGGTTTTAGACTTGCTATTATATCTGTTTTACCACATATTATACAAATCTTCAGTTTTGTTTCTTTCGAACCAATTAATAGTTTTAAGAAACTCTGCGAACTTGTCTTCTTTCTTCCATAAATCCACAGATGAATTTCTGCTTGTCCCTTCTTTTTTATGGTAATAATATCCTCGATAATATTCATCCAATATTTTTTTCCTTTGGAATATATGTAATAGCATGTAAATCCATATTGCTCAAATTTTTAATTATAAATGTAACAAGTCGAGCTTCATCTAATGGAACATCAAGATTTATTTCATCTCCTATTTCCAAATGATCGTTTGCAAATGGTAAATGAATTCTGAATTCTGGCTCTTGAATACTGGCTGTTATCGGTAGTTTTTGCGGATCAGCGCCATCGGAAACTGCGATTAATTCTGCTTGCAATTCATCCATTTGATCTGCACAACGCAAAATAATGCTGACTCTACTTGTTGATTTTGAAGCAACTATGAATTCTGTCGGTGAAACTTCTAATCCAGATAAACATTCTCTTAAACATTTAACACCAAGACGTACCCTAGTTTGCAGACTACCATTGTTTTTTATCGTCAAAATTTTATTGTGAATACCACTTCCACAAACTAAGTCGCCAAATTCAATTGTTTTTTCTGATAATTCAACTTTTGAATACACGACAATACCTGTTACTTTTAGATTGCCTATCGGCTTATGTTGATCATTACCAGCACACGCTTTGACAGCAATTATTCCAGTTGTCATCAATCTACATTCTTGTGCTGATATAGTGAAAATAGCAGAAAAAAAACCTGGAATCTCCAGGTAGAACATCAAAAGATGGTGGTATAAATGACAAATTTTCCTTTGTCTCTCCAGTACACTTTATAGAAATCGGTATACTATCAGCATTAATTATAAGAAAATTTATCATTAATCGTTTATTTCGTCTAATTGATATGAATCGTGTGCCGAAATCACCAGAAAGTTCTTTTGGTTCCATATGCCAAGAATTATTCTTTCTATGAACAAATGCAATCGTTTCAAATGCATCACTATCTATATTGTTGATGGCAGGTAAAATGTCAAAAGTTTGTGGCTGACATACAGTTAAATAGCTGCAACATTTCTTTAAACGCATTACTAATTCATGTTTACGCTTGAAAACTTTTTCTGCTGCACGTTTTAAGAGTTGTATTTGAATTCGATTTTCGACTATTCTATCGTTATTATATGCTTTCATAAACGCAAAATTAGTATGTATTTGTTGTTGTGCTTGCTTTAGATCACCGGATGTTGTTCCGCGAATAGTTCTTAATATTTTCACATGTTCAAATAGTATACATGATAGTGTGTGGGACGATTGAATTTCATTTTGCAACTCAGAGTATTTTGTATTCATATTGTTGAGTATTGATTTCATTTCATTTGTATATAATTGAGAAATGGCATGTTTCAGATTTTCCTTTGTCTCTGGATTTTCCATTGTCGCTAGATCTCCAGTATCGATAACTTTCTTTCCATAAACGCTTATTTGGTCGTTGTACTCGTTGATACTTTCATAAATCCGATTCAAGTTGTTGAAACAGTGAAAATCAAGCGTTTTAATATCCCGTTCTTTTAAAATTGTTTGTAAGTTTGTACGAATTCCATCTAGAACTTTTTTATTACATTTCCATCTGGTTGTTATCATTTGCAATGCTTTTATCATAGCATGTTCTTGTATAGAGGATTCATCATTCTTTTTTTCATTGTCTGTTGAATCTTTGCAATCATCTGGATTTTTTCCATTATAGTTTTTACTGCGAAACGAAGCTGGATCCTTTTCGGGGTTCTTTAAGTATTGTTCGAGTTTGTTTAAACTTTCGTTTAGATCTTCTATCATTTTCTTTTTATCATCTATGCTTTGACTAACATCCCAATTCATATGCTGTGGATCTTTATTGAATAAGCATTCAGTCTTAATTTCAATATCCAACGTAAGTCTATCATGTAATAGTGTTTTCTTGAAGGATGTTGATTGGACCGACGTCAGTAAGAAATCGCATGAACCCCCATCTACTTCAATTGTGATCCGATTGTTTAATTGATTTATAGGAATCATCAAATACAAGGATTTCGAATTTATATGGGAAAGAATTGATTCTTTTTTTTGATCGTTGCTGGCTGTTAACCTAATCTTCTTGTTCAATATATTTTTATCGATAAGATCGAGGTTTGGCAGTCTCACATCAATCCTGCATAGTTCAGTGACGATGTTTTGAAAAATACTTTTTACTTTAGCATCCTGGCAATATAGAGAAGTAATTTTCTCATTTATACTCACAGATTCTTGTGGATAATCCTCTAGCAAATTTAGTTTCGCTATGAATTCAACTATTTTTTCAGCTTTTTTTATACACTTTTGTTGCCATTCTCGAAACCTTGTCTCATGTTCTTCTTTTCTTTTTCTTTCTTGGTCCCAAAAATCATCCCATTTTTTCTTTATTTCGCCAAACAACTTTTGAAAGAACCATTTTCGAGCTTTATCACGGCATTTTATTATTTTATTTAGCTCGTCTTTGCATGTTTGTTCCCATTGTTGTGCTTGATTATGGAATTCTTCGATTTGTGTGCATGTCTTTTTCACATCTTCTAAGTATTTTTCCATCTTTATCCATTGTGATTTCTTAATTTCATTCATTATACTTTCTGATTCAAAATCTCTTGCCAATTTTATAGTATCTAACACCAATTCTTTAGCTTTTTCTTCATTCTGAAGTTCTGTTGTCATAGCTATGGTGACTTTTTCGACAAAATTATTAAAATTGTTGGTAATGCAACGTAATGATTCACGTTCAATAAAACAATCCATTAGATCAACGAGTAGACATCCTGTTGTTTTAACAGTTTTATCAAGTATAACAGCTGCTTCATGTAACTTTTCAAACTGATCCTGTAAATTAGATTCTGATCTTAAGTCGGACAACTCATTTTCTCGACAGAGTAATTGCTTTAAATAGTCAGACCTTCTAGCAATGTCACATAGGCGTAATGAAGCATAACGTAATTTACACGATCCATTGGTGTCTCTTTCGGAAATCTGTTGACCTGGTGTATTTTCATTTCTGTGTACATATGAAGCAATTATTTTTGAAGATGCAACTGCTTGAGAAATGTTTGCCGAAAACGTTTTCGCAGTTGCTACAGTCGCTGATTTCAATATTTCACGACCAACAATGTCAGACGCTCTATTTAAAACATTCCATGGTAATTCGGGACGAGCATTACGACCAACTAATTCTAGCTCTTTTCCAGTTTGAATGAATTGTAATAAAATATCGATATGTTGAATGACATTGACCGCTGCATCTACTTTCGATATACTCATTTCAATCTTGGCAATTTTACTCGTAGTTTCAATCATTTTATGAATCAGAACGACAATATCTTTTGAATAAACTTTACTGATTTGTGAAATATCATGTCCCACAAATGAAAGTAAACACTTTTCACTAAAATTTTTCAATAAATATGCAGATGGTAAAACTGCATCACCAATATCGAAGAGACATTGATCCAAATCACTCTTAAGTAAGAGTGGTGACAATAGACTTCCAGTTGTTGTTGATATAAATACACTTGATAAAGCAGCTTGCACTTGTGGAAGTTGATGACGTAAACCATCGATAGCTGCTAATAGATCTGACTCTTTGCCAGAATCAATCCACTTATATTGACTTCTATTAGTTGACAATAAAATTTGTTTTGTATAATCAGATATTTTTTCTTGTTCATCTTTTAACGTTACTCCATAAAATTTTGCTAGAGTTGTTAGACAAACTACGCATTGCAATATAAAACGTTGAATCATATGTACAAATCGTTCTAAAATATGATTGTCACATGTTGAGTGTGAAATATTAACTATTTCAGTGTCCCATATTTTATACATTTCAATTGATTTCTCTAGAAGTTCTGATACAATTGAAACATTAAAATCAGTCGTTATTGCAGTTTCAATTGTTTCTCTTAAAAATTTCTTAATTCGACGATATGTCTGTGCAGTTTTATACGATTGATCATTTTTAAAATTTGTTTGCCATTTATCGTACATTTTTATGTTTGTAGTACTACATATTAATCCTTCTAGTATAGATGCTAGCGTCCAATCAATAAATATTCGTAATGGATCATTATTTTCTAATTTTTGTAAAATATTTTCTACTTTAGAATATAAATTAGAAATTTGTTGTAATTTTTCACTAATCATTTGGTCTAAATTCTTAGTTGTAAGGATACTAGAACAGTGAATTTTTTTAAATAAATTCAGAAGATTTGATAGAATTTGATCGAATTTGTCATTCGAGTGTGATACATTTAGAGAAACAGCATTTGAAAGATCCATTATTATGTTTTTAACTTCGGTAATTATTCGATTCATTACATTGAAAATCTCGCGCTGGATATGTAGACAGTGTTGCGTTTCACATTTTTTAATATTGTCATCCAATTCTTTCTTTTTCTTGATAATGTTTTCACACTTGTTCTCGTTTTCAGCCTTTAATTTAATCAATTTGTCTAACCTGTCTTTGAACTCTTCAGAACCTTCCTCAAGACCTGATGCACCCGCAGCTTTAAGATCTTGATCAATCCGTATCTTAACTCTTGTCTCTTTTATATCAAGATCTAAAGAGTGTATTGTTGTCTGAATTCCTTTTTCTTCGTCTTCAGTTTTCTTTAATTCTTCCCATAGTTTGAGATTTGCTTCATGTAAAGTTTCTTTAGGTAGTCGCACACATGTTTTTTCCTGTTCCATATGTACAGTATTTTCATAGAAATAGATTACAATATTGGCCATAGAAAGCCCAAGAATTATCTCCAAAGGTATATTATGTTGTAAAGATAAAAATGGTGGTTTTTTTGTTCCACTATCATTTGAGATTGTAATTGTTTCTATTAACAAATTCAATAAAAAATCAGCTATCAATTTGACTTGATTAGAAGAAATTATAAAATTTGTTGAAGTTGGATTTTCTATAGTTTTGCGAATTATATACGCATTGCTTTGCCATTTACTAGTTGGTTCATTAAAACGAGGCTCATAAAGATCTAATCTTTGTTCAAAAGTTAAGCTCGGCTTTGATGTTTCTAAATCTTGAATAAACAATTCTGCATTGATTTCATTCATAACAATTCCTGAAATAGCATTTAAATATTCTGGACATAACCAAGTCATCAAATCTGAACAACGTAAAAGTCTCGGTTGTAATATATGTGATGCATGCCAAGGAAAACTACTCGTAATGTTGTCTAAATCACGTTTACGATTATGAAGAATTTCAACAAAACGAAATAAATTGACAAAATTCAATTCCTTTTCTATATCTTTTTTAGCAATTGGCTGACAAGCAGTGTTTATATCATTCCAAGTAGTAGTAATTAGTTTTTCATTAAATTTTTTTCTTAATTGACTTCCAAGTTGAATGACATGGTTTGAATGCTCATGTACAATAATTTCAAATAGCTTGTTAATTTCATTTGCATTAAATGTAGTACGTTGTTCAGAGATTAGATTTCTTTGATAAAATTCCATAGCCACTTTATCATTTAAAGTAGCTGCCACTGCGTATAATTTTTTACTTTGAGATTGTTCAAGATTTTCAGGTGTTTTAGAATGCAACCACAATACAGACATATTTAATAACTGCCACCATCCCCAATTTGCATATGATTCATCGATTAGTTGTGTCAAATAATCAGTTTTTTCCAATATTTTGATTTCGTCTGATAAGTCAAATAGTCCTCGCAGTTTTTGACGAGAAGTTTCTAGTTTCTTAATTGTTGATTCATCAACATTATTATCTTTATCTGATAAATGTAATTTTTCGATTATTTGACAAAGATTCATATCCTGGGCGTAATCATTTACTCGCTGTACGATTTTATAAAGTTGTGCTAATTTACTTTTACTATGAGATTTAAGATTTTTAATTTTTTCTTCTGTCAAACTTACAGCATTTATTAATATAGAAATTTGTTCTTCATCTGTTTTCAATAAATCCTTTCTATTTTTCAAAATATCGATCCAATGTTCAATATTTGCTAGCTTTTGTAGAGCTAGTTCAATCATCAAGATTGGATATGGTCGTATTTGACGAGCTTCTACTAGAATTTTTTCTAACAATTTTTTTGCTTCACACAATTTGTTTAAAAGTGAATTTTTGAATGCATCTAGCGTAGATTGTTGTCGGTCGTTACGAATACTTGGATCACTTTTATCAGCTTTTTTCGAATCATTTTGACAAATTTCAATAGCAACGTTAATTGCTGTATGTATATTAGTATAATTAATTGTGCTATCGTCAATTTTCAGAATGCTTTTAACTTGATCGATGATATCATACATTTTATAAAATGAAGATTCATCCAATTCCCCTGCTTCATTAATATAAAGTTGAAGATTATCTTCATTTGTTATTTGTAATTCGATACACCAATTATGACATATAGCTTCAACAACTTTTGATAAGAATTCGACTTGTGATTGACTATGTTGTTTATCGATAGAATCATTATACATTGCAATTAAACATGCTTTATTAACAAAAACGGTTACTAAATGATTTATTGAATCTATCAATTGTATTTGTGTTTCTAATTTCTTATCTATTTCAACTTTTTGACTCTGGGCAATATTTTGAATTTCTTTAGAGACAAATGGAATGGTATTACTAACTTCCATTGGTAATAGTAAAACTCGTTTTAATAATTTACGATCGAGGAGTGATGTTTTCCAACGTTCAGTTATTTCATTGATTATTTCTGATCTAATTGATGAGATTTGTTTAAACATTTTTGCTTTGTTGTCTATTTCG